GTGAGGTCAGTAGCTCTTTCAGCCCTGAGAGAACAAAGAAGACATTTTTGTGGCTACATATTGGGCCAAAGCTCCATGTGTGTGATATATATATATGTGTGTGTGTGTGTGTGTGTGTGTGTGTGTGTGTGTGGATACATATACATATATATATATACATATAGATATACACATAGATGTACGCATATATACATACATATACACACACACACATGCCTTATTTAACAAAGAAGAAGTAGAATCTACTGATATAAGGTGTCTTTCCCTTCAAATGCTCTCTGTTCTCTTTAGAGCTGGTACCTATGGAGATGGAATACCTACCTATTCCATGCATGCAAGACATGCAACTTGCTGGCAGGATCAAGCCATCTCCAGTTAGAGTCATCAAACCTCAGTGTTCATCCTGCCTTCATCGAGCACAAGACTCCTGTCCTCGGTGCCCACACTTCCATAGTGTAGCTGGATGGTCAGGGAAGCGGTCCCAGGTCACCCTCCTGAGAAGAAGCTGCCGCCGTGATTGTCATGGGTCTGCAATTGCATACTCCTCCGTCTTTACCACACTGCCTCCCCAACACCATCTGTGCCAAACAGGAGTAAGGAACCCAGTGACTCCAGGAACAGGTCAGTGGGCACGTGTGCACACCCAGTACACCCTAGGTGGGGGTGAGGAGTGCACTGTCACCCAGAGGACTCTGCTTCCTGCCTGCCATGGCCTAGAGCTGGCAGGTCTGACTTTTTATGTGAAATTCCTCAGATATATAAATGTTGCCTGGAATGAAAAATGATGGTATGAGGCACATAAACATGTTTATGGGTCTGGTGGGGGCTGTGGGCCACCAGTTTGAAAACTCCAGCATTTCAAGTCAAGTTGGGCCCCACACTGTCTTTTCTCATTTTTTTCCTCAGTTCACTTGGTTTGAAGTCATTCCTTTTCCAGCCCTCCTGCCTACAGCAACATCTGCTCTTCTCTCTCTCTCTCTGACCTACTTTGGTGAGCGCCATTCTTTTCGCCTGTAATGTATAACATCACCCTTGTGTTCAGTCCAACTTACATCTCCTTTGAGGTCCAAGTCAAGTCACACTGCCCCTGTGAAGCCTTCCTTGGCAGCCTGCACCACCGAGGACCTGGCAGTCCTGACAAATAAGGACTCCAGGGCAGATGGCAGGAACACTCGGCCCAGGCTGCAAAAGAGTTGACTGGAAAACTCGAAAGAGAACGGGAGCCCAGACCTCACCTCCAGCAGTTCTGATTTAATTGGTCTCAGGTGGAACGTAGGATGTTTTGGGGTTTTGTTTTTATTTTTATTTCATATTCTCTAAGTGACTCTAACTTCCCAGAGTAAAGGATATTTAGATGGCTAATTTCCTCATGGCTATATTTTCATTAATCAGATTGTAGTCATCTACAAAGAAACAGAGGATAGTTAGGGGGCTTTATGCTTATATTTTGCCCACAAATAATAGAGTCCTCCCAATAACAGATATTCTATAAGGTGTCTACCGGCCAGAGTCTTATGTTCTGAGGGTGGCCAGTGAACCGAAGTCTCCGTGTGAGCCATTGGTTAGGGCTCTGTGACTTCCTCTCAGGGGTCCTTGTTTCCACCAGTTGCTAGGCATTGCTCATGAATAAAGTGGCCCCGAGGCCGAACACAGAGTCATACTCACCAGCCCTCATATTGTCTCTCCTGGTCAGAGCGTCTTAACTGAACGTGTGTGGAAGGAAGAAGGTCTGAGGGCTCAGCTAGGACCCTGGAACCCTTGTTCCGTACACGTCGTCTGAAGGAATTTGTTCCCCCTTTCAGTCAATAGTTTAGGTCACCAGAATCAATTCTAAAGACAGACATAAAATCCCTAATAAAATCCAGACACATAGAGATTTTACTGTAGTGTTGCCTGTAATAATAACAAAAATGTAATAAGCAAAACATCCAGCGCAGCATGCTAAAATGGTATGGACAGTCATTTTAAAATTATTTTTTGAATGTTCACTGGAGCAGAGTGAACAAGCAGATTCAATTTACTGTATAACAATGAACTCAATCATTAATTCATTCAAATATGTATCTCTGAAGTCCACCATGTTCAAAACACCAAGGCACTACAGCCATGCTCGCCTACACAGCATTCCAGATTGCTGCTTTAAAGGCACCTTGCAATTTTTTAGTCACACATTTTTAGTAGATTTGATTAAAAGCCAGTTAGATTTCTGCATATATTTTCCATTTACTTTACAAATTCCATAGTGTTTTTTTTTAACTTTCTTCCCTTATACATATTTTCTGGGTGTGTGCTATAAGAAATGATGGTACTTCTTGGATTGTAAAGCATTACATATATTGCTCCTATTTAATGTGTTTTGTTGGTAAATTGTATATCTTAGACATAGAAGAGGGTTAGAAGTCAATACCAAATTTCAGTTTTCTGTCTTGAGCAACTAGCTGTATGGCGAAGATGTTTACTGAGGCAAGAAACCTACATAAAAGAGGTCTTATAATTTGAGATAGCTGTGAGACACCTAAGCTAGAATGCCAAGGAGGCTGTTGGCCTTGTGAGTTATGAGGGTGGAATTAGCCACTGCAGCCATGTCTAGAACTGTACTGAAAACCTGGGAGCTTTGTGGTGACCTATGCAGCAGGAGTAAAGTGATCAAGAACAAGAATTGTTCTGGCTTTTAATATCTGGGAGAATGGGAAAAGAGATCAAGATCCATCTATGTCTGTGTTAGTCAGTTAAAGTATATAGCCTTCATCTTGTCAAACATGTTTTGCTGTTGTCTTTATATTCCTGTATCTGCACTAGAGTGTAAGAAGAGAGAGCCTTGCTTACCTTTGGGCCCACACTATCAGTCTCCTGATAGATGGATGTACGACAATAGATACACATTCCAAAAAGATTCCATATAAGATATTACTGAGGAAGCTAGAAATGATAGTTCAGGGGTTAGACTGTTACACAGGACCTAGGTTTGGTTCCCAGCATCCATGCCAAGTGGTTCACAACCACAGATAACTCCAGCCCCATTGGAATTTGACACATCTGGTCTCTGCAGGAGTTTGCACTCACATGTGCGCGCGCGCACACACACCCACCCACCCCCACACACACGAAAGTGAAATAGACCTTAAAATACCAGCAAATACAAACCAGAAATACATACATTTTAATTTTTGACATATAAAATCTTACCCATAGCAATACAATTATCATTTGACACACCAGAAAAATTACCAATGCACTTCATAACATTTTTGACAGAGTGATAAAATAAATATGATCCAATTGGTAGAGGAAGGAAAAACATTTCAGAAAAAAAACTTATTTAAAGAAGTATTGATAGTAATCAAGGAAGTCACTTTACTCTGAAAAATTTTAACTATTCAAAATATAAATGAAATGTTAAGCTACATGGAAAAAATTTTAGAAGCATTTGCATTTTAATTTGGAGCCTGAGAACACTGTCTGGTGTACTGGTATCACCCAATAGTCCTATCCAATGTGATTTTTAAAAAAAGAAAGAGAAAAGAAAATCTATTAGGACAGAGAATTACAGCAATTTCCAAATAAAATTATTTCACATATAAAAGATGCACAATAGTATCCAAGTTGTTATAGTTTAAAAGGTGTTGTGTAATTTTAGTTTCGATATTTGTCAGTGTCTTAAATGTCTGCTTCAATTTGCAACTAACGACTCGGTAGGATTTTGGTCCCATTGCAAATACAAAAGTCATTCAGCTTCACCTGTGAAGCCTCTTTCTAATTAAAATAGACGGAGTCAATGATCAGCAGTTCTTATTTTAGTGTTAAGCGTCTGCGGATCCATTATAGCATTTTCAGAATTTTTGTTTTAATAGAAAAAGAAGCAGAGGTGGGTTGGGGACTACAGTGCCCAACTGGACAGAAGTTGCCACCTAGACTTGCTAGATTTCAGAACTCAGCTGGTTATGGCAAAGTCACTACCTGGAGGAATCAGGGAATTCCTGCAGAAGAAGCCAAATCCCAAGGAGTTTTTGGTGTTATTTGACTTGTTATATATCAGCTGTATTCTGTTATGAAAATCATGTGTGCCTTCATAGTTTTTCTAATTGACTTTGCCCTAAGAAGGACTAACAGTGTAGACTGATCAGTCTCTGGACATACACATTCCAGGTATTTGGAGAACAGCCTCAGGAAAGGCTTTCTCTGGAATCAGATTATCTCCCTTGGCCACTTTCAAGGACTACAGGAAACACCACTCAGGTGGGTGCCCATTGTTAGTCCCAGGTGGACTAGCAATGATAACAGCCCACATGTAAGTCTCCTGACTTACGGTAAATTCCACAAGGAGACACCTCCTAGGAGAGGTGGACATTAAGTAATAGCTTTACACAATTTAGCTCGGACCCTCCCTTTATATACCGAGACTTCCAGGGCACGGGGAGAGAAGAGAAAAGAGAATGGAAGAACTAGATGGGTAAGAACTTGAGAGGAACAAACTGAGATGGGGAAGAACTAGATTGGAGGGCTAAAAGAGAGGACTAGAGGAATGAGATGGAAGATGAGGAAGAGCCAGATGGGGGAGAACAAGATGAGGAAGAACCAGATGAGCGAGAAGGAGATGGGAGAGGAGCTGATAGGGGAAAGAACTAGATAGATGAGAACCTAGAAGGGACAGAACTAGATGAAGGAATTAAGATAGAACCTAGAGGGGACAGGAGATAAATATAGAGAAATTAGGCAAGAAAGGAACTAGACGTGAGAACAGAACTGAAGCTGTGTATAAAGGATGTTATGCCAGAGGAATTAAAGCAAGTGGACTATAGAGCTCCATGTGCTGAGATTCTATTTCCTGAAAATAGTCTTCGCTATTAGTAGTTCTCTCTCCTGAGCCCCTGGGATGTATAATATTGAGGCTGGTTCTCTTAATATTATACAAGAGCAAACAAGCCAAGTTAGGCCAAGCAGCCCAGGAAGTGAGCTGTGAGAGGGGGCAGACTGCATTGCGTTGGAGCATCCTGGAGGGTAAGGGTCCTTCAAAGACCCAGCCAGTATGTGCAATGCTGACTGACTTAGGGTCACACGATGTGGTTAAGACAAGCTGGTCCCAAAGTTCAGGACAGGAGATTCTACACAAGGGGAATGAAGAATCAAGTCTTTGACATGAGTGAATTCTCTGTTTCTCAGAAT